TATATATATATATATATATATATATATATATATATATATAACATAAACTACACAGGTTGTGTGACAGGTTATTGCACAGGTAGTGAGCAACATTGAGATGAATTATGATGGTAAGTAGTGACATACATGATACAGCCACATAATGCAGCAGCAATAAACATATTGGTTTTCACAGATGTGGCTTGGTGCAGTGTTATTATCAATAGTTCAGTAATCTGACAGCTTGTGGATAATAACTGCCTTTGAGTCTTTTTGTACACGATGACAGACTCCTGTATCGTCTGCCTGAGAGTAGTAGATGGAAGAGTCCTTGTGCTGGGTGGGTGTGGTCCTTAATGATGCTGCATGCTTTATGCAGACATCGGCTGTGGTAGATGTCCTGGATGGTGTGGAGACTGCTACCAGTGATGTCCTCTGCTGTTTGCACCACCCTCTGTAGACCTTTCTGACTGGTGCAGTTCCCATACCACCCTGTGATGCAGCCTGTCAGCAGGCTCTCCATGGTGCAACTATAAAAGTTGGTGACAATGCTGGTGTTTGTACCAAACTTATTCAGTATTCTTGGGAAGTAGAGTCTTTGTTGGGCTTTCTTGGCCACAGTATTTGTATGTAAAGTCCAGGACAGATCCTCAGTCATGTGAACGGTGAGGAACTTGAAACTGCTGACCTCCTCCACCTCAGCATTGTTTATGTAAATGATGGAGTGCTGACCTCCATGCTGTCTCCTGAAGTCCACTATCATCTCCTTTGTTATTCTGACATTAAAAGAGAGGTTGTTTTCTTGACACCAGCTGGTCAATGATTTCACCTTGTCTCTGTAGGCATTCATTGTTGTTGGTGATGAAGCCCAAGATGGTGGTGCCATCAATGTACTTGAGGATGACGTTAGAGCTGTGCTTGGAGGTACAGTCATGCTATAGATAGACTTCTCTCCTGCTTTAACTCCTCTCAGGAAGATGTTTCAGATCACTGTAGCCATTCCTCCACTGAGTCCCTTCTCCCACATGAAAACAGATTTATTTTAAATATAAACTATCAGCCATTTTTCTCAGTAAACCACACGATTTGTTAACACTTTGAGTTTCTCCTGAAAATGATCCACTTCATTCATAAACTTCTTGCTCTTCATCAGAGCTGAGTGATGATTGGTTTGATAACACATGGACCAGGTGAAGCTGCTGAATCAAGGTGTGTTTGTGTCGTTTCAGGAGGTTCTGCTGGTGCAACCATGGCTGCAGTCGGAGCTGAGGTCACCGGGTCAAGCTTCCTGTCATCAGGGCTCGTGGGCTTCTTCATCGTCCTCCTCCTCTTCATTTTCTTCACGGCTCTCTGCAGCATGTGCAACAGGTGAGTTCTGCAGCTCTCACCACTGGTCTGTATTTTAACTCCTCCACTTTCCATCATCATTCTAAAGCTGTGTTTGTGATGCAGACAGTCATTTAAGCTCCAGGAGCCACGGGTGGATCCGACCCCATCAACTCTCATCAGAGTGGTAGGACATTAAGAATCTCAGCTTCCAGCACACAAACCTCAAACTGTCTGAACTGACTTGCATCTGGCTAATGAACAGGTGAAACTGGAGGAGGTGAAGGAGAATCCGATGATCGAGGAGATCCAGAAGGATGAAAAAGGTGACAGGCAGAAGACCTGGATGATGAAAACAGAAACAGTTTGAAGATATTAGATGTTAAACTGATTATTTAGAAAAATCAAAGGAGCTTATCGAAAAGGTTTTTTTTATCAATCTGCCTTGATTCACTCGAGATTAAAATTTCTGTTTCAGAGTTTTGTCCTAAAGAAGACTCAGCGGTGACATCCAGCTCCTCGCAGCACAAAGAGCCAGAGACCATCAGAGGTCAGGAAGGTTCATCACTTTTTTAATGTGATTAATGAACAGTATGCTGATGTACCCCATCACTGACGGATTTCAATACTGAATGACTGTAGATTTCAAAACAAGTTTTTTTTTCTGGACTGGAATTAAACAGGGAATGTAAAAAGCCTTAATGTTTATGGAACAAAATATTCAAGAGGATAAGAGTTACACTGTGTAGAAGAACAGAAGTAGATTTATTTATTTTTCCTGTCCATGACAGCGCAGAGTGAGTTTCTGATGAGTGGAGGGAGAAATTTTTATTCAATTCAATTCAGTTTATTTATATAGCACCAAATCACAACAAAGTTGTCACAGGGCACTTTACAGGAACGTTCACATACATAAAAAAGTCAATTAGTAAAGTTTATCCACCACCAAGTGTAATGGTGGAGCCAGGGGGGTGGCCAGTGGCGGCCTTGGACAGAGATTCAGCCACCCCAACCATTTCAGAAAACTATACTTCTAAGAAAACCGGCCCTTAGTTTGAAAAAGGTTTTAATTTCATCACAGTGGGGCAGCTCTAAGGAAATTTTTCATGTACCTGTACTTTAGAGTTAACTGTGGGTACTTTTGACTTTTAATCCACCCTACATTTTACAATAAGTCAGAGTCAGAGTTTCTTTATTGTCATTCTCACCTCATGTGGTACATGTGGTGGAGCGAAATTACGTACACAGGGTCCCAGTTACATCCAACAATAAAATGTATAAGAAAAACAGTAATAACATCTAAGATATGAACTAAGAAAAACATCAACTAAATGTACACTAAGCACTAATAACATAAAAACATTACGTCGAACATCAGCACAAACATGAACATGAGTCTGTGTGAGCAGATGAGCACGCATGAACACATCAACATTGAAACAGATCAGCAGCAACATGAAACAGATCAGCAGCAACATGATGTGATTTTTTCACAGTGATTATTCTGATGAGAGATTCATGAGTCTAACAGCCTCAGGGTAGAAGCTGTTCCTCAGTCTAGTGGTTCTACACTTAATGCTCCTCAACCTCCTTCCTGAGGGGAGTGGGGCAAAAAGTGTGTGTGCTGGTTGAGTGGGGTCCTTCATGAGAGAAGTTGAAAGTAACCAATGGTGAGAGGGGAGTTGGTCCATTGAATCACTGTAAAGTGGTCAGGTAACGTTAGACCCACATTCAACAAGAGCTGGGACAGTGATGTACTGTATGTCATTGAGCTGGGCGCACCCGCAGCACCGCTAACACACTCAAAATGGATTCCACCACAGACAGTCAGATAGAAAATACATGTCACCCATGGCTTTATTAAAAGATTATTGAAAGATTATTGAAAGACTATTGAAAGACTATTGAACGATTATTGAAAGATCCTGATGCATGCTCAATAATCCAGGTAGAAAAATCTAAAAAAGTTAAATCTGGTCCTCTGGACATTCAAAAAAACAAAACAAAGCAAATCAACAAAAAAAATGTAGAAACGTTTCGTCTCTCATCCGAGAGACTTCCTCAGTCTGAGGTTCAGAGAAACTGAGACGTTTATTTTCTAAACATAACGTCCCAGTGACTTTTAAACCCCAAAATACATTACGGCATTCATTACATTATATTTTTTGAATGTCCAGAGGACCAGATTTAACTTTTTTAGATTATTGAAAGACTATTGAAAGACTATTGAAAGACTGTTAAACACAGCAGGACAGATACTCTCTCCCTAAAGATTCAGACTGGACTCAAAAAACTTTGAAAGCCAACTTCTTCTGAACTTGAACAAGAAATTCTTGCTGCAATATGTGTCAGTTCATAGGATGTTAGGAGACAAGAGATGTCTCCAAATGTCTTGACACTCAGGTCCAAGTTTTGAAAATGGTGTCAGGAAGTTAAAATATTGTTCACTATTAACCCATTACAAGGTTGACTAGACAGTATTTTAACTAGAGTTGATGACAAACTGGAGTTGAAATATCAGTGGAAATGATCAGTGTCTATTCCTTTGTTAGTTGTGTCTAATGCTCCTTTTTTCATGCAGACAACTTTTACTTAAATGTGTTTACTGCAGTTAAAATGACACATTGGTTTTGCTTTGTGCTCAATAAAAACTTTCAAAGGTATAATCATTCCTCTTTCTTATTTTGATTAATGGCATTTAACTCTGCAGGTCATCCCTGAAATTCTGACGCACAGCATCACAAGTCCAAGTTGAACTGTGTCACAGAGTAAACACAATAAAAACATGTATTATCTGCAGCATTGTTCAGTAAACTGGCTCAACACTATTAATGTATTACAGAAAATATACATACAGTAGGCACACTTAATGATATTGTAGACCATATGTGTCTAACTCAAGGCCCGGGGGCCAAATATGGCCCTCGTTGACATCTAATCTGGCCCCCAAGATGTTGCTTTAAATGTAAAATACTTTTATTACTTTAATTATTTTCAGTAATCTTTGATTATTATGTCAAACGTGCAACAGAGAACGTCAAATGAGACCAATCAAACTCTTGCTGAGAAACCTGCAACCAAGAAAAGATGTTGGGTATCTAACTTGAGTTAATGTAGATTCTGAAACCGGCCCTAAGTTTGAAAAAGGTTTTAATTTCTTCACAGCGGGGCAGCTCTAACTGCCCCAGAGCTGCCCCGCTGTGAGGCCTGATTGAAAACACCAGACTCTAATTTCACCTTCAAATTAATTGCTAATCCTAAAGGTTCACATACTTTTACCACATATATGACATATTGGATCATTTTCCTCAATAAATAAATGATCAAGTATAATATTTTTGTCTCATTTGTTTAAATGGGTTCTCTTTATCCACTTTTAGGACTTATGTGAAAATCTGATGATGTTTTAGGTCAGATTGATGTAGAAATATAGAAAATTCTGAAGGGTTCACAAACTTTCATGCACCACTGTATATTGGTAGAAGGATGCTAGAAATGTAGCTGTCATGAAAAAGACAACAATGAGTTATATGGTAAATGGTAAATGGACTGTACTTATATAGCGCCTTTCTATCTTATTTCAAGATACTCAAAGCACTTTACACTACAATCTGTGTCCTCATTTACCCATTCCTACAGCTCTCTACTAGATCTATACAAAGCTAATGGAACAAATCATTCTAATGAGACTAATCAGTGCTTTAGATCACATTCATACACTGATGGGACACACATCAGAGGCTATGAGGGGTTCAGTGTCTTGCCCAGGGACACTTCAGCATGTGACTGCTGGTGGATTCGAACCCCCAACTCTTGGAGGACGACTGCTCTAACCACTCAGCCACAGCCGCCCCGCATCCATTTAGAGAGGTATTTGGAGTGAGAACAGAGGATGCAGAGAAAGAGTGAGATGGAGGAGGATGACATGCTGAAGAGAGAAAAGCTAAAATAAGAAAATTATTTTACTTATAGAAATAACATTTAAACCCATCCATTATCTTTACCCTCTTCTTCCTTTTTGGGTCGTGGGGGTCACTTATGCCCAGGGCCATCCATCACTGTGCGAGAGGCAGAGGACACCCTGGACATGTCTCCAGTCCATCACAGGGACACATAGAGACAAACAACCATTCACTCTCTCACTCACACCTAGAGACAATTTAGAGTTACCAGTCAGTCTAACATGCATGTTTTTGGTCTGTGGGAGGAAACTGGAGCACCTGGAGAAAACCCACACATGCACAAAGAGAAGATGGAAACTCCACTCAGAAAGGCCCCTCAGGCCAGGATTTGAACCAGTGACCTGCTTGCAGAGAGGCAACAGCTCTACCAACTGAGCCACTGTGCTGCCTAACATTTAAATCTTAGATTAAATGATTTTTAAAAATTATTTATACAAAAAGGCTTTCATAAACAAAAGACTTTTGGATGAAAATATGTGCAAAATATAAGTGGGCTAAATAACAAAATCAAATTAGTGGAATTGTTTTTACCAGGATTTTACACTTGAAACGTGAGATAAATAATGAAAAAGTATTTGTGACACTTTTGAACTTGAGATGTTTCAAGTGACACCACTTATTTGCCTGATTATGTTTCCCATGATGTTCAGACTCAAGTCCTGCAGAGGAAGTCTCGGTCTCGTTCCCACCCTGGAGGAGCCACTTGATGGCGCCACAGAGCAAAGGTCTGATTGTGACTAAAACTGACAGAATATAAAAAACAATTAATCAGAAATTTAAACCCTGTTATTTAACGATATGTATTCCACAGATGTGAACGGCCTTTCCCCTTCAGACTCCTCCCACGTCTACGACATCATCCAAAGAGGGCGGGGCAATAGCAGCGATGCTCTGACAAGGCCTGATCACCCACCAACACAGCTGCATGGCAGCACTGATGAAGAGAACATCCCTCAACCTGCGCTTTCAACAAATCACAAGAATTCTGTTTACGCTCAAGTCAGCAAGAAGAATTGAACATTTCACCTGTTTGTACACCTGAGGAGTAGAGGAGTCTTCATCATGTCCTGCAGGAAGATGGGATGGAGGGTGATGGACAGAAAGAGAAAGACCAAACAAAGATGATGATGGAAAAATGAAGACATGTAACAGAAAAAAATAAGACTCTAATAAACAGACCACATGCCTTGATGCCTGTTTTGTAACTTGGGTCCTTTTTCTGCCACCTCCATGCAGTCACACAGGACTCCCCTGGAACATGTCAAATGATTTGTCAGGGGTGGGGGAGATAAAACTACATTCCACTGCCATGGTGAGGGAGTTTATATTATTGCTTACATGTGTTGAATATGAAACATCTGGCTCTGAAATGATGCATGTGAGTTGTCATCACTTTTTTGTGTCTGTTGGTGAAAGATAGGTGAAGAGCTTGTTTTTACCACTTTATTTAGGAATCTTCAAAATATGAATAAAATGTTCTTGTCTTTGTGGGTTTTAAGAACTGCTCCTCCACACTCGCACCACACATGTCTGCAGACAGCAGGTGGTGCTGTTAGGGAGCCTGTATGTTGTCATGCAGATGTGTTCAGACAGAGCTCGGATTAAACTTGAGCAGGTTTTGGTTCTGGCAGCATCAGGAATTCAAAGCCACTTCCTGATTTGGTGGTGAAGAATATTAAAGATGTTGGATATTGTTCTGTTCTGTGAAAATATATATTAGAGGACCCTCATATGTCTATTTAATGAGCTATGTCTGAATTAACAGGACCTTCCATCATGATTAGTTTTTTGTGGGGTTTTTTTATGTTTGCATTTCCTGTGTTGTTAATTTTCTCTGTGATCAGTTTATTTCCTGTTATCCTAAAACTATCAGCCTCTGCTCTTAAGTCCTGCTCCTCCTATTCACACCTGCTTTCTGTTGTCATTTTGCTCAGGTGTCTCCATTCTAATCAGCCCCAACCCATTTATTCTTTCTGTCTTCATTCACCTACTGTCTGTCACTGTGTGCTTTGTGCCCTGTCCGGTTCTCCTCATGTCTCTTTGATTTTTTTCAAAACCTTTAGATTTTATTCGAGCTCCTCATGTTGGTCTTCACTTCCTTAACTTAAACTTTGAGGTTAAGCTATGTCTCACACCATTTCAATTCAAATCATTTCAGTTTAGTTTATTGATATAGTGCCAAGTCACAACAGAAGTCATCTCAGGGCAATGAACAGAAACATTCATACACCTGTATATATACTATATATATATATATATATATATATATATATATATATATATATAATAAGTTAACATTATTTATCTGAGGAGCAGACTGCTTTGAATTTAACTCCATCACAGAACTCTCATCTTGAACAAGCATGAAGGCGACAGTGGGAAGGAAAAACTCCCTCGTGAAGAAGAAACCTTTGGCAGAACCAGGCTCAGAACAAGCGGCCAACTGCTTCGACCAGCTGGGTATGAGAGGAAAAGGAAGTAGGAACAGATACACAATGGCAGGCCGAGAATCACAAGTTAAGATTGAAATAGAATCAAATGAAAACTATTCCATTTTAACACTTCATTTAAGGAAATGCGATCAATTTGTCCTCTAGTAGTCTAAGCTTATAGCATCACTGCAAGCCAACCCTAACTATAGGATTTATTAAAAAGGAAATTCTTAAGCATAGTCTTAAAACTGAACAATGTGTCAGCCCCATATTTTGAGGAAGTATTACTAAATCCTTAATCTCTATGCAATAAGTCAGAACCAGGTCAAGGGTGTGATGATGAGAATGAGTAGATGTGTGAAAACCAATTGAATCTATAAAATTTTTAAAGGCTATGCTTGATCTATCACTTTTAACATCAACATGACAATTGATATCCCCCATTATTATGATTTGATCAGTATGTAGTAGTAAGTCACTTCAGAATTCTGAGAATTCAGACAAAAACTGAGCATAGGATCCTGGTGGACGATATCAATTAGTGAGAGTGGCTGTTCCATTTTCCATTTAGGATGGGATAGACTAAAGACAGTGACTCAAAAGTATTATACCTAATAATTGGTTTAGTATTAATTAATAGTCTCGACTGAAAAATGCAAGCTACATCTGTGCCTCAACCATTTGAATAATTTGGTCCAAACTTAAACTCATGAGAATCATTCATCCATCCATTAGCATTCTTCCTTTTTGGATTAAATTTGCAATTTCTCAGAACTCAGAGCAGCAGCTGGATCTATTTTTAAAATTTTAAAAACAATAATGACAACACCGTGTTTAATGTGTTTAATTCTGAAGTCCATGCACTTTTTTGTGTTTGGTGACCAACTACAAAATTCAGAGCAAGCTAGTCATCGCGGAGGATCATACGAGCTGCCGACCTGTTGAAGCATGCAAAGCCGGACCACAAGCCCCGGCCTTGCATGCTCACAAAGGCCAGATTCTGAGCCCTGGCAGGTGGGAGGACTGGGACGGAGGGTTGAATATTCTAGAATTGCACTGCTCAAGGTGGCTGCATGTTGGAGCAGCTCTGTTACTTTCATTCTGAGATTTTGCTTTTGGAAACTTTAATTCCTCTTTTTCTGGATGTAAATCACATTTTTTGGATGATTGTTTCCTCTGGTATCAGATGCTGTGCAGCTGGAAGGATTTTTAGTGAAACTTTTTTTTGTTTTGGACATTTGTTATGATGCAAAACCATGGCAACAAGGCAGTTTTCTACAACCAACAGCAGTTGATTAACATCTCGAAAACTCAAATAATATCTCAACTACAGCCCCAAATCTCAAATGAGTTGAAAAGGATGTTCTATGGACACATTCTCATCTACCTGCCAGCTGTGCTCGAGTGCCTGACCACTGAGATCCTGTAACTAGCAGGAAACATGGGTCATGACAGTGGAAGGACAGGATCGTCCCTCAGCACCTACAGTTGGCTGTCCGCAGCGACGAGGAGCTCGGCAGACTGCTGGGAGGAGTGACCATCGCTCTGGGAGGAATTCTGCCCGGCATTCAGGTGATCCTACAGCCCGGGGGAACCGAGAAGCCAGCCGAGTCTGGGTGGACGGATCGGACGACATCTGTAGCCAGTTTCTTAGGATCCACTGTGGGATGGACCTTTACAAGAGATCCTTCCTGCCTACAGCCATCAATATCTATAACATCTCTTAATGAAATGAGGATGACGAGTTACTGCAACAAATAATTTCCCTTTGGGATTAATAAAGTATAATTGAATTGAATTGAATTGAATTGAATTGAACTGAAACGTTTTTTTTTTTTTTAAACGTTTCACGTAAAAAAATAATGTTTTTTATCAGTGAAGATTAAAAATGAATAAACGGTGCAGCTTTATCACGAAATCCTGTTTTCCTTTGACTTTATTAAATAATCTGTTAATTAAAGTTAATTCAGTTGAAAAATCAGAAAAAGACATAAGACCTGATGCTCTTATCTGGTCCTGGGCTCCTGGGAAGTCACTGTGGAGTTTTATCAAACTTTGTTGTTCAATAAAATTTAGAAGACTGAGAACTTTGTTAAAAAACACGTAGCAAGGTTGATTTCTCTTCTGCAGAAGGGAGAATATGTGAAACGAAAACGCAGCCCAAGAGTTCTTTTGTGTTCTCAAAAAACATGAGCAGTACGGCTTCATTTATACACCTTCACACGTAACGTTTTGACACAGCAGGCGCTCATTTTCAATCTTATCAGAGTAAAAACAGACAGTACATTTGTGGTCAGTGACTGGTTCTGGAGCTGGGTTTGAGAAACGGAAGTTAGAAGGTTTCACACACTGAGGTTGAAGGGGTTTAGCCGCTACAGTTTTAGATAAGCTTTAACAGAGTGTGATATAAAGTAAATGACTAATAAGAGTGATGATAAAATTGATGAACAAAATAAACTGGTATCAATGTTTTCATTTCCACAAAGTACTGATCCTTTCTGAGACTCAGAGCTAAACTGCAGTAAAACACTTTAATTATAATTTTAAAGTAAACTGTAAATTGCGTAAACATATCAAACTTTTATATTAACAACCCAGAAAATATCAACAATTCCTCCCTTTTGTTCCTTCAGGAACATCTACAATAAAACAAGTATTTACAGACAGAAGATCAGACACTGATAAAAAGGAACATCAAGGCACATGTGGAATACACAGTATGTTTTAACATATGGCTATCATAAACATCAGTTACAAATGTTGCTAAGGCTGTTTTTGTGGGGGACAGATCCCTTATGGAATGGGCAAGCAAAAAGATTATGAAATTTAAATATATATATATATATATATATATATATATATATATATATTATAAAACAATAAAATGATGTAAAGCAAAAAATTAGCAAAACAAAACTTGTGAACTTTACATGATGGTTGTCTTCCTATTAGTCAGGACAAAAGCAGTGGTGTGTTTGGTTTCAGTTGAGTCTTGGGCTCCATACTTTAAGAGGAGAGCATAAGATTCAGCTAAGCTTTCAGGGGTCATGGCTGTCGAGATAATGCGTGTTGATAGTGTGCAGAGGCATGGGACACAGCAGCAGCCACATACAACTAAAATGGCCAAACAGATGCCCATGGAAATTACTAGGGACATGATTACACCTTTCCATTGTCCAAACATTTTAGTAAACCAGTTTGATATTGGGTCATTTATGCCTGATGCATCTTGCATTTCTACAGAGAGATCTTTTAGTCCTTTTAAAGCACGGGCTATTTTACCATCAGGGGCAGTGTTGTTGGGTATGAAGGTACAGCATTCATCACCAATCATGTGACAAACGCCTCCTTGTTCAGCTAAAAGCATGTCCAGGGCAATTCTATTTTGTACAGCCATTTTGGATGTGGGACGAAGTTGGTCAGCTATGCCTTCTACAGCATCACGAGTTAGGTTGGTCAAACGTAAAACATTGTAATGGACAAAATTTATTCTGGCTACATTTTTGTTTACTGTTACGTAGGGAATCAAAGATTCAAAACCTGCTTCTATAGGATTGGCTAATTTGTACTCATCAAGAACGCCTCTAGGAACACCAATTGCATCTATCTAGGTTTTTGAGTCTTTTTGGTCAAAATCGGTGGAACGCCGTCTTCTTCTGAGAGTGCTGGGAGCTAAGCTACGTCCTACTAGGGTGAGGGGAGCTGCAAGGCAGACCAAGGCACAAAGTCCTTTACTTTTAGTGGGAATTTTAACAGGTA